AGTTTTATCGTGTGTGCTTCTATTTTGATGCAAGAATGTCTCATACGCAAGCTTTTGGGAATGTTCTTGAAGTTGCCACCAAATAATTGAAAGTAATTTATCAATTGGAGTAATTCGGTTTTCAACATCCTTTAGTTTGCTATGCAAACTTTCTACACGTTGAGTTGACCTTATATCAAGGTTGATATTATTATTCATATATGGTGCGAGCCAGCTTTCCTTATGCCGCATCCAAGTTTCATTCATGTAAGTTTTGGCATTTGGAAATCATTTCCACAATTCCGCTATTTCTTGTTCAATCTATTAAGTTTTAAACATATGTGTTAATTTGTAAAAAAAGAAAAAAATAAAATAAAATTAAATAAAAAAAATTAAAATAAAAAAATAAAAAAACAAATAAAAAATAAATAAATAAAAATTATTACTTCATTTATTGAAATATCCCCATATACAAGCTTTTGAAGAGCTTGAATAAATTCATCAATTTTGACATCTTTTTTGAGCTTGTTCTGAATGTTTTTAAAGATGTGCCAAATGCAAAGTTGATGCCTGGCATGAGGAAATACTAAAGAACATGCTGTGATGAGAGCTAGCTCTCAGTTAGTTATGAATGTTGCTACTTGTGCATCGCCCGTCAGTATAGTTAACACCCTGTTCAATTGTTGCATCACCCAACGATAAAAATCACATGTTTCTGAGTAAACAAGAGCAAAGGCCAAGGGGTAGGTTGATCAAAATTGATCGATGCTACAAATAACTATTAAGGGCATCGAAAACCTATTAGTTTTGTACATAGCATCAACTATTAAAACATCCTTTGCAACCGCAAATTCAAAAACTGCATGACGGTACGCCCAAAAAACCACCTGAATAAATTCACCGTCTTGGTCATGTTCATCATTGTGTATGGCTTTTGTTGCAATACTACCCAGAACATTTTCATCATGTTGCAGAGTTTTAAGTAATACCTCGATCTCATTTAAACCTTGTAATTTCTTTTGACGCTGATGACTTATGGCATTGTAAACATCAGGCTTGTGGACATATTTTGAACTTACTGAATTAAGCACTGAAAATATGTCTTTTGTGCGGAGTCCATTGTTGCAAAGTTTTTCAATTAGGCCAAGATCATCTTGGTCAAATTTATGTATAGCAGGGCTAAATTTTGTTGCTTCCGGACAAATATCATGGCAATGTTCAAGGCAACACTTTGTAATTACAAAGTTTTTTGAATGCTTTCGGTAATTTATACCAATCATAAAAGAACAACCGGTCCGTTTAGTAGTGTGTTTCTCCTCTTTTCCACTATACTTTCCTTGTCTTTCACAAACAAAATATGCCTGCCTATAGCCACTGCCATCTGGATTCTTAGTTGTTCTACCTAAAATTAATACGGTGTTGGTTTTTGCAGCATATGTTTCTATAGCTGCACGTGCTTCAGGAAAAGTGGCGAAAATGGATCCAGTTCTAATAGTATCAATATTCATTTTTAAAAAAAATTGTAGTTATGATCATAAAGAAGAAAAAAAAATAGAGAGACGCATTCGCTTTTGTTATCAAAAAATGTTAGAAAGAGAGAAAGCCAAAGTCAAAAAAAAAAACTTATACGATATTTATATGTCAGATTTTAGTAGTTTTATTGGCCGATAAAAATTATGTATTTCTGTGCGATTTTATTAGTTGATAAAAATTTGATGTACATAAAATTATGCGACGATTTCATTGGCTGACAAGATCTGATGTACATAAGGTTACACGAAAATGATGTACAAAAAAGAATGCTGTTTTTCTAGCTTTCTGATGTTATTTTCTTAAACAGATATATTTTTCTTTTTTCTTTTTGTTTCTAGAGTTTTTTTGAGATGAAAAGTTTGTGTACCGGTTGTACTTAGGATGCAATGATCACTGCCTGAGATATAAGAAGCATCAGTTAGAGATAGAGATTTGAATGCTAGTAATATAGCTAATGAGATTCAGAAATTATCAATTTGACTAGCAGAAATTAGACAATGCCATGTTGATGTTTGGATGTTATGAAGTGCTAATAAACTTGTTAGGTTGGCTGCATTTAGATTTGTGAATATTAGAAACTATTTCTTCTAAATTGATTAACATTAAAATCTCCTAGTTGGTTAGGTGCCAGTTTCTAGCTCTAGCTTCTGTAATTCAGTTAAGTAATTGAAACTGGTTTTTTTTTAGAAGAGAAAAATGATTTGAAAGAAGTTAAGTGAAATAATATAAGATTTGTTGTTATTAGGAAAAAAAAATCAAAACATATAGCTGTTTTTTGAAAGATGTTGATTTTGTAAATATATAGTTGTAATTGATTGCAAACTATTAGAGCAGTTTCTAAGCTGGCTTCTCATTGATATGGTTTATATAGTACAAAGTTTGAGATAAAGATTTTATATAAGAGGTTAATTAATGACTTCATCATCAAGTCTTTTAGCTTAGTTTCAGTAAAAGAGATTATAAGTAAGTTTGACTTAGTACAGTGTTTGATTCAGGTTTGCATCTTTAGTATATTATTAATGCCTCTAATGTTGTAAGTAGTAATATTAATTTTTTTGTTTATATTAAGTTCATAGAGATTTGGCTTGTTTACATTTTCTATAGATTGTAGAGTATTTGTATTAGGATATATGCTTATAAGTCTTTTGTTATAGGGTCTTTCTTATTTGCAGATGTTTGTGTCTTTGGTGTTGTATTAGTTGTCTCTTTGTTTTCAAAGATGTCAAAAGATAGTTCAGATAGATCTATAAGATTGAATATATATCTGGTACTATGTAATAATAAAAGTTTTGTCAAAGGGTTTTCAAAACCAAAAAAATGTTGTGGTGCTTTTTAATAGGCATATTTATGTTGTTGATTTTTTTTTTAGCTAATGCAAGTTGCAATTTTTCAATTATAAGAGGTAGTTTATTTAGGGTATTGTTAGGTTCAGGTTGTTTTTTTTGAATGTTTATCCAAGATTGAGATATTGTATAAAAATAGTAATATTCATGTAGTGCTTTGGCTACAATACTTAGCTCTTTGGAAGTTGATATCAGTAAGATTAAGTTTACTGCTATAACTAGTTTGGCATCTTTTGGCAGATCTGAAAGTTCTGTGTAATTGAAATCACAATATGTTTTTGGCAATAATGTTGAGATGCTGTATGTAGATAGAATCTTTTTAATGAATAAGTTAACTTTTTCTGCAGTTTGTAAAAAAAAGATAAGATCTGATATTTTTAAGTTTGCAGGATTTTAGGGCAGTCATCAATGTGAGATAATGTAGTCATTTGGTAGTCTTGTAAATAAATAAACCATTCACAAAAGTCTAACATGTTCTTTAAAGTCTTCTTAGTATTTAGATAAGAAAGAAAAATTTTTTTTTAGTCTAGAAGTTAAGTCTTGTAGAATAAAAGGTAGTAAACTCCTTGGTGCTAGTAGCTCAAAGTAGCTAGAGAGGATTTGTTAAAAAATATAAAACTTTTGCAGAATTTCTCTGTATCAAGCCAGGTTTTGCAAGTCTGCTTTGTTTATAATAGAAAATATGTTGCGTACTTCATCATTTAGACATTCATATGAGTTTGGTAAAGGTTTATAATTATCTAAGATGTATGTTTTAGATATTTTGTTAAATACAAACATTAAAGATAAGATCTTGGCTACATGTGCAATAATTTGATAATTTGAGATATATAGGCTAAAAGGAATAGCTTTTATTAGATAACTAGGAATTAAAGTAGGTTCCGCAGATAATGGTATTAGTGTCTTATTGATAAAACTTAAAACTATTTTTTTAGTTGTTTTGAAATTTAGTTGCTGTAAGATTTTTGCATCTTCTGTTAAGTAGAAAATATATCTCATAATCTTTCATGCATCTATTAAATTGAAGTCTAGGTTAGTTAAGTAATCTGTTGCTAGTTTAATTTGTAGTAGTTCAAAGATTTGGTTTCAATTTTTTTTGTTTGTTGCTAGTATATTATGTTGTTTTTTATAGATGTTTAAAGCCTCTGTAAACAAATTATTAAATTCTGTTTGATGCTATAGTCTAATTGCAATAATTTGTGTAAAGCTTCTAAAAAATGCTATATCTCTATAGAACAATTTTGCTGCAATTGCTTTTGAAATATAATTTGTAGTTGATTTTGTAATAAGTTTGTATCTAATTAATTTTTTAATATCATTATGAAAGATTAGTGCATCTTTGATTTTTGATTAAGTTCAGGTTGTCATGTCAAAAGGTTTTAGTCTGTCTTGTCTAATTTTTTTTAGAGCTGACTATGCATGCTTATACTATTCTTTTTTTTTGTCACTATTGAAGCTATTTGAAGCTTTTTTGTTTTTTTTTGGAAGGCTGTTAGTAACTGCCTGGCTATATGATATCTTTTTTATGTTTGTTTCTCTAATATTGTATCTGTTAAATGTGTTTCTTCTTTTTCATTATCTATATTTGTTGTGTCTTGGTCTACTTTCATATTTGGTGTTTGTTTGTTTGTATCATCATTAGCAGATGCACTAGGTCTAGGAGCTAGTTCTGGCTGAATTAGTTTGTTTATATTTTCATTTTGTTCTTGTGTAGAAAGAATTATGTTAGTTGTGATAAAAACTTGGATTGGGCTCTAACTATTTTGTAAATTTGTAGGAATATTTTTTTCTATTAGTTAATATAAGTTCAGAATTGGACTTGTTATTGTTTTCATCTCTACTAATAATGTCATATCTTGAAAATTCAGAATTAAGCTAAAATTTTTATTTTTCTTAGAATTTTCTTCTATTGTGTTTTTTCTAGTATTCATTTGAACTGGAATAGTAGTATTGTAGTTAGTTTTTCACTTTTTTTCTTTACTTTGTTACCTATTGTATTGCTGTTATCAGTATATATATAAGTAGGTCATGTTTTTTCTCTTGGGTTTTAGCTATATATGTTTTGTTGCTATTTTTTTTATTGCTATTGTTGATTATTTTAGTTGCCAATGTAGTTAGCAACAAGGTTATGAAGAGGACAGAAGTGCAAAAGATGGTTTTTCTGCTTTGTTTAATTTTTAGTAGCTTTGTTTGTTATTATTGTTGCAAGTTATTTTAATTATTTAGTTATAATATTCTAAGTGTGCCTAGTTGCAATTTAATATTTGTTTTCTATATAAAAAATAATTTACAGAAAAGAAATTTTTTATTAATACTATGATAAACTATTTGTTTATTAATATTACTAAATTGTTTTTTATAAAATATAAAAATTTTTGAAACCAAATGTCAAATTGTGATTTGATTAAATAAAAAGATAAAATATAATAGTTTGTGGTAAATTTTTGAAAAATAATATTTATAGTAATATTAATATAAAATTTGAAGATATTGTAAATTTGTAAAGTAGAAGTATTGTTTTTTAAAGTATTTGAGATATGTTTTATATAAATAAAGCTTTAAATAGATAGGTTTAAGTTATAAGTTATAAAAAAATTTTTAATGATTAATAGTTTAGTATTTATTATATAAAAATAGATTAAGTTTAGTAAAGTTTATAACAATTTGAAAGTTTTTTTAATTAAATAGAGAGAAATAAAATAGTGTAAATCAAAAAGTTGTTTGTAGTTTGTTTTATGAAAAAAAATATAGATAAATTTAGTAAGCTAATTTTTTGTTATACTAAGAAGTATTTTGAAGAGTATTTTAGTTATTTCAATAATATATAAATTTTGTTTAAGATTGTGCTTATAATAAATTTAAGTTTTTTAGTTACTATAATTTAAATTAATAATTTAAAATTATTTTTTATAATTGGTTTATTAATTGTTGTAAAATTAATAATTGAACTAAAATAAAAATCTTTGAGGATTAGTTTTAAAAAATCTAAGATTTAAATTCAGATATTATAAGTATAAATAAAAAAAAGTTTTCTAAGATAGATAGCTTTTGAATTAGTCTAAAAAGTGATCTTGTTGAGTTGTAGTTTGTGAATTTATTTTAGAATTATAAACAATATTAATAATAAAATAATATTTAAAATTATAAATAAACATAAAAGGCCAGAATAATGATAGTTAGACCCAATGCATAGAGCAGACTATGATACTTTGCACAGCTGTGAGAGCTGAGCATACAGTGACCCACTCTGTAGAAGACAATTCTACAAGATCATTTCTAATATCTTTAGCTTCATATGATCTTGATATATATTATAACAAATTTCTTTTCTATTACAATATTTCTCTTCTTCCTTACAATTAAACTATTTAAACCCTTATACAACATATTGACAAGCATAACTCCAACCAAACTGTTATTAGCATTACATTCTCTGTTAATATTAATTATAATAAAACTCATATATACCTTCCTAAAAACTTATTTTCATCTAATCACATTATTATTTTCTTTTATCTTTTTCCTAAGTTTTACAACTTTCCTCTTAAGTTACACTCTTCTAATCCTAATTATATCTTATCAGATATACTTACACAAAATACATGTGATTTATATCTCAAAATCACTACATA